CACTACCTCTGGGAAGTTGGGCTTGTTTTGCTCAGTGCCTCTTTAGCCTTTGGGTGGTTTATTTTCATTGTGGTGTCCTATGTGCAGATCTTCAGGGCCGTGCTGAGGATCCCCTCTGAGCAGGGACAGCACAAAGCCTTTTCCACGTGCCTTCCTCACCTCACTGTGGTCTCTCTCTTTATCAGCACTGGCATGGTTGCCAACCTGAAGCCCAACTCCATCTCCTCCCCATCCCTGGACATGGCAATGTCATTTCTGTACTCGGTGGTGCCTGCAGCAACGAATCCCCCCATCTACAGTATGAGGAACCAGGAACTTAAAGAGACGTTGAAGAAGCTGATTCAATCAGCTGTATCTCAGCAGCATTAGCCTGCCCATGTCTCTTCAGAATTTATTTCAAATTCATCTCTGGAACCTCCTGCACTTTGGGCATTTTATCCGTGGTGACCATGTTTGTCCCTGTCTGCACCCACTCCACTTCTCCAGAGGGATGATCCAGCCTGTCTGACCCAGAGGCCTGATCACGTGTGTCTGGCACGACGGCACAGCCAGGCTCCCATGTCGCATCTCTGTAATAAAAGGGGATTTCCTCCATGTCTGGAGGTTGGGCTCTTCTTCCAAAGATGAGGTCAGGCTGAAGAAATTGCCCCACAAGGCCGTGCTGCTGTGCTTGGCTTCTCCGTGGGACGAGGGCATGGGGCAATGTGTAAGGGAAAGGGCCCGGGCTGAGCCTTCACCTGTGGGTGCCCAGTTCTCCCGGAGGTGGTGAATGATCACAGGGACCTGCCTGGGACTGTCACCCCATGGTTTTCAGGCACCACAGCCCACTCGCTCTGCAGAGCAGCACCACCAGCTCGGGGCCCTGTGGAGAGCACAGAGAAGGGGTGGGAGAGATGGGTCTGGTCAGCGTGGAGACACTGTCCCCGTGGAAGGCTCTCTGGGGGCAGGGACAGCCCCGGAGAAGAGAAAGGAGCAACACTGTGCTTCAGGGGCAATAAATGACCATGAGAAACCTGTTTCTGAATGCACCAGCTCAGGGCAAGTTTCACTATTGCTGGGGCAACTGGAGAAGCCTCTCGGCCAGGAGTCTTTTCCCGGCAGAGGGGCTGGCACAGAGTGGCTCACTGGCATTAGGCAATAAGGATGCCTTGGAGACAGGAGCAGGGTACACAGGGAGACACTGGCCTCCATCTCCTCATGCCATGGCTGGCCTTCAGCCTGGGGCTGATGGGGAGGCTGAGACACATCTCTTTTCTGCTTTCGCTGCCCACACTTGGATGGACCTCAGGAAACATCCATGAGCCTGGAGGATGCACAAACCTCCTGGGATGAGGACCCATTCTTGCAGGGGAAGCAGAAGGATTTGGGGGACACATGGGAGTGCAGGGAAAGAGGGGGGTGTGTGGCAGTGTGTGTATGAAAGACAGGAAGAAGATGGGAAGTAGCAGGGCGGGGTTGGTGGGGGGCGGACAGTGTGTCATACTGAGGTGAAATAGGTTGAGTTTTGATTTTGAAGCAGCAGAAGGAAGATGTGCAAATCAGTGCTGGGACTCTGAGCTAAATAGAGGATTCCACTGAGGATTGGGGCTGGAACATCTTTGGTGGCTGAGTAACTCTGGCAGGGCTTTGGAAAAAGCTGTGCAGTTCAGGGGAAACTCACATCCATCGACAACAATTTCGAAAACAACAGTTTTGTGTTTGAAGAAACAGTGAGGAAAGAGAGTCATCAGTAACCCTCACAGCATGGGGTCAGAGTGAGGTGGAGAAGCAGGGTGGTGGTTAAAATCTGCAGAGAAACAGGCACAGGCGTAGGAAAGTGTGGAACAGCCGGTGGTGGGATGGCCCCTTGGTTGAGTCTGGGAGGCCCCAACAGAACTGAAAACCTTGTGCTTTCGACTATGACTGATGTCTCTTCCACTGAGGTCCCTGAGGGGACACCAGTTACTACAGCCACAGCGCTTTGCTGCCTCCTCCCCCACCCTCCACAGAGCCCGGGGGGAGGCCTAACGCTGTCCTGGATTATCATCCCACCCCCCGGCATCTCACTGCCCCCAGGAAGAGCCCTGAGTGTCCCATGAGGGAAAGGATCTCCGTTCCCAGGGTTGGGGGACAGGGCCTGAACCTCCTGGCTGATGAAACACATGAAGGCCTTTCATAGTCACCGGAACATTTGATTTTCAACCCATAAGCAGTGCCTCTGACTTCCCACTTTGCCACCCCCCCAGACAGGAACCTGGTCTCCTCATTCCCTCCATGGTCTCTTCAGTGATGGCCCTCGCTGGGGAGCACTGACACCCTCAGAAACTTGGAGGTTTGCTGCTGACTTTTACTTCTCTAGAGGCAACTTCAATTCCTTTTCAAGATCTGCAGTTCAGGAACTTGGCATCAGAGGGCTCATTAACATGCAAATCCCCCTGACGAGCCAAGTCTCTGGGCATAACTTAATTCCTCATGGTTAATTGGAGAGATTTCAGCAGTGTAGTCAAGGTACTGAAAAGTCTTCAGTACTACATGTCAATAAGAAACAATTTATTGCTTTTCCACTACTCCTTGTTTTTCTGCTCACACATTAAGTGACAGCAGCCAACTCCAGTTGATATTGATCCTGAGCATCTCCTGATAGAGGCTGAATATGTAGGGAAGCCAAGACCCTGTATGTCAGACACTCTGGAAAATCTTTGTCCCTCCCTCCAACTCCACGTTTGTCTCATCGGCCCTCTGGCACTTCCAGCAGCTTTGTTCAAAACTGAGACTTCTCCATGACAGTCTGTAGCTGCATCTTTCATCCCACTGACATGAACTCCCACTTGCTGTACTTGGAAAATCAGCTGCACACAGACACAGAAGGATGTTTTGTAATTGCCAAAAGAACCCAAACCCAAATGAAGGCACAGTTCAACAAAAAAATAAAAAAAACCCCCACTCCTCTGCTGTGTATTAAGTCTACCTTACATTCTCTGAAGTCCACCTTCCACAGCAGATATGGCCTTAGACCAAAGGAAAAAACATTTTTTTGCCAAGCAGAGATCCCATGAACCCCCAAAGCACCCCCTGCCCCAGACTGTCCATATTCACTCACAGCAAGTCACACCCTGAAGTCATGAGCTCCCTTGATGCACAGAGGGAAGCTAAAAGACATCTAATGCCTTTCTTAAAATAACAACCTGCACTAATCCCCATGTATCTGGGTTATAGGAGTGTCTTCAAGTAGGCTCTGCAGCATCTAGACAACACATTCCTCATTCTGCTCCAGCTTGGGTGCAATTGTCCAGGTTTCCTTTTCTGCTCAAGGGAGAGCTGTGAGTGCTCTCGACCAAGGTGTTGTGGCCCACCCTGCCTGTCCACCAGCTCCTGCTCCATAAACACTCCCATCAGCCTGGGGTCTCATTTCCCAGTGCCATGTGGGGACTTCATCTCTCCCCAGGTATCTTGGAGGCAGTGGCCACCGCTTTGTGGGCAACTGCATCAACCCCTGAATGAAGACGTGAGGCAAAATTTGAAAAGACCTCGGTGTAATCCATGTGCAAGATTTCATTTTCAGAATTTGACACTGTTCTGTATATTCTCATAAATTTTTCATAGGCCATGAACAAGGACCAGTAAGCTGATGACACTTCCCTCCTATGGAAATGCAGATTTATGCATCTGTTTCCTTTGCACTGGTAACATTTGAGTTTGCTCAAGCAGCCCCTGATTTGATTCCTATCCACCACTGGCCATTTGCCTCTCGAGTCCTGCCTTGAGGCACAATGGCTTAGGAGAACTTGCTGGTGAAATCGGAGGCAAAGAGGACATGAAGTATCTTGGCTCTGTCTCCACCTACCCTTACTGAACTCAGCTGTGACCACACATTATTGTTACGTCCTCTTTGACTGTTCCTAAATTAGTAAAATCTTCTTATGCTGCCCTTGAATTCCCTTTCAGGTCTCAACTGAGTATTGATATAGAAGACTGTTGTGCTTGGAGGATGCTGTCCCTGAAGACTGGGTATACTGAGCTTTGCTGTCCTTCAGTGGTGCTGACCAAGAGATATTTTAGTAAAAATCATTTACATTTATTGTATTTGGAATCTAGCAACCGACTGCTACTCTAAACCTCCCTGTACAGCCCCGTACCAAGGCCGAAGGGATTGGTCATAATTGTTTAATGGGAACGGTTAGAACCTAGGTAACAAAACACGAGGTGATTTGCAAACTGATTTATAATACGTACATTGGACTACAAGAATGCAAGGAGCTGTCAAGGTCCAGGACTAATGGGAACTGAGGGCAGTAACCGTAACAGCTTGCAGGTACCTGCCAAGAAAACTGTGTCCTTAAGCAGAAGGTAATTCCGGCAGGGGGAGATCGCGACCGCTGACCCACGGACCACCTACTCAATTACGCCCCAGAGCCATTTCTAGACATTTCTAACCTTTACTGCGCAGACTCGGAAATAGGAGGAGAATATGTTCATGATTTCTTAGAAGCTGTGTGCTTATGTATGAAGACTTAATGAATATGTAGGAGTAAGTTCTATAGAAGGTGTATGATTCTGGTGCTGGCACGTGGTGTTGGTGAGAGCACTCCCCTACACATCCAGCCGTCAATAAAGAAGTGTCTGCTTATCTGCCTCAAATTGGTGTCGATAAGTTATTTTTATCCCGGATTTCGGTGACACCCAGAGCTGCCTCAGGCAGACACCAGCCCACGGGGCTCCCAGAGCTGTCGGGGGGGGCAGAGGTCCCAGGAAGGACCAGGGGGGAGAAAGCCAGCCTGCCCCCAACTCCGCTCTGCCTGGGAAAGCTCAGCCCAGCCCAGCCCAGCCCCACCTCTGCGGGGAGAGCAGCTGGGCGAGGGGCAGCGGGAGGGGGCTGCCTCCAAACCCAGCTCAGCTCCCCTCGGGGCTTGACGCCGCTGCTTCTGCCTGTCAGGAGTGACTGAGGAGCTCCCGGTCCAGCTCTGCTGTGGGCTTGGGAACAATGACAAAGACCTGCTGCATTCAGCCTAAGAATAACTGCTTTATTGAGAAAGCGAGTGGTCGGGGGCATCCCGAGCCGAAGGGGTGGTCGGGGGCGCCCAGAGCATTAGTGCATGGACCAGCCGTTTCTTTTTGGCTTCAATCAGGAGCAGCCCCTGCTTCTTGATGTCCTCCCGGCAGAGGACATGGTCATCGTCTTCATCGTCAGAAGCAGGGGGGTCTGGAGGAGAGAGCAGAGAGGAGCAGGTTGGGGAGGGTCTGCGGGGCCACCTCTGCTGTGCCTGTGTCCCTGGGGTGATGTGGCCGTTTTGTAGGGCTGGTGGCATCCCAGAGAGCCCCGTGCCAGGCCCTCGGGCACAGGCACTGTGACGGGCTCTCCCAGCCCAGCGTCCCAGGGTGACGTGCAGGGCCTGGGGATGCCACCGCTGGGGTCCCCCCCCAACACTGCTGGGGCTTCCCACGAAGGTCTGGAGCTGCGGGGCAGTGGGTTCACCTCCGCTTTGGGAAAAAGGGCCGTGAGCTGCAAAAACTCCTTGTCTGCTCCAAGAGCCTCCAATCAGAGGAGGCCACAGGCAGAGCCAAGCACTGGTTCTTCACACCCAGGGCAGGGGATTTTGAAGACGAGGGCCCCCTCCCTGCCCCACAGCATCTCCCCTTGTTTCTGCTGGGGCTCAGCGCTTACCACCCCAACAGTTGCCGTCATTCTCCCACATCCCCACCTAAAACCACTCCCCATGCTCAAAGCCTCGGAGACAGCCAAGGTCAGACCCAAGGTCTGGAGGCAGCTCCTGGGTCGGGGTCTGCTGGGACAGTGGGAGACAGGCGAGGACGCTCAGAACTGCCTGTGGGCAGGGGCTGGGACAGGCGCTGGGGGACGTGTCCCCGCTGTGCTCTCCTACCCTCGGTGTCCTCCAAGGAAATCTTCGGGTTCCGGGGATCCTCTGCCATCGACTGCTCCAGGAGATTTCGCACCTTGACAAAAGCCTGTGAAAGACACGCGGGGTTAACTGCTGAAGGGGAGGGGGGTGTTCAAACCCAGGGGTGCTCCACCTCCATGTCCCCATGGGGGGACACCCCGCAGCACCCAGTGCCCCTTGGGGCTGAGCTGCGCCACAGCTCTTCCCTGGGGCCACGTCCATGCTCCCATCTAGGAGGACAGCTTGGGACGGGCCACCTGGGAGAGCCCTGTGCGGGTCCCCAGAGACCACCGCAGGGATGGAGCCCCAAGCACGCACCTTATTGTCCTCGTTGAGGCTGTGGCTGTCGGGGGGCAGGCTGGCCGTGCGCTGCACCAGGTACTGCAGCTTCTGCCTACAGTGCTGGAGCTTCTCCTGCGCATCCCGGGCCTGGACAGAAGCATCCTGCAATTGGAGAGAGAACAACTACGTTGGTGGGGAAGAAGAGTCTCTTGGGGTGACAGTGGCCGCTCCACACATCACTGTGCTGTGCCGCTGCACCCCCAGCACCGGCCGGAGCCGTGCTCACCCCCGCACCGCTCGGGTACCTGGCCAGGCACCGTGATGCCACGCAGCAGGACGACGAGGTTGTTGACAGCGTTCTCAAACTGGAGCAGCAGATCCTCCTCCTTCAGCATCTGGGCTCGCATCTGCTCCCGCCGAGCCTCCTCCCGCTGCAGCTCCCTCCTCAGCTCCTCCTCCAGCTTCCTGCAGCCAGACACATTCACATCCACACAACTGCATCAGGGTGCAGAGACACCCCACATCTGTTGCCAGAACTGCTCGTCTCACCCCCGGCACCGCCTGCAGAGCAGAGATGTTGCCTGCAACCCAACCCCACGCTGCTGGTCCCCCTCCCCACGCCAGGCAAGGAGCAAGGGTCCTCCCGGTGCCACCCGCAGCTGGAGCTTTGGGTGCTCTGCCAAGCCCAGCGCTGGGGGAGCACTCGGCTCAGGAAACCTCCCAGAGCAGGAGGGGTGGGGGCTGCAGTGGGACGGCGGAAGGGGGGCCCTATTGGGACACCCAGGATGCCCACGTCCCTCCTCCAAGGGTGATGGCCCAGCTGGCACGACTGTCCCAAGGCCAGCAGTACCTGAAGGTGTTGGGGGGCTGGCGAAGCTTCAGCTCATTGTGCTTCAGCTCCAGCTGGTGCAGCGTCTCCTTCAGCGCCTGCTGCTTCTCCTTGCACTGCTGGAGATACCGCTCCAGGTCCGCCGAGGCCTTCTGCTGTTCCAGGAACCTGCCAGCCATGTCCTGGCCAGAGGAGAGCACGAGGACTCAGCCCGTGGCACTCCTGGAGGGTACAGGAGCCGGGCCGTGGCCTCGGGGAGGTCTCTGCCCCACGGACTGCTGCAGGTTCATGGCATGGAGAAAAGCAGCTCCATCCCTGCCTGCACAGGAGGGGTCTGGGGGGCTGCGGGGCAGAGCAGAGCAGAGCGCCCCGCCAGGACACAAGGCCGGCAGAGAGGTCTCGGCTCAGCCCTGCGTTTTAGCGGAGATGGGTTTTACTTACCCAGACGTGGGAGCACGGCACCGCAGCCTTGGCCTCCTCCATCTTTTTGGTGACCCAGGCCTTGTACTCCTCCTGGGACTCGGTGTCCTCCACTTGGGTTCCTGGCGTGGGAGGGAAGCGTCAGGGAATGCTGCCTGCAGCTGTGCCCACGTCCCACCGCCCCGCACCCCGCCAGGCACTCACCCTCAATAGAGTCCTGCAGCTGCATGTTCAACAAGTCCACGGCGAGCTTCTGCCTGGCTTGCTGCAAGGATGTTCAGCGTCAGCCCCCGAGCTGCTGGCACCCTGGGGGAGCTGGCCCTGCAGGCCCCCACCCACGAGGGGCTCCGCACTGGTGCCTGTCACCTGCCCGCAGCCCTGCCTGTGCTGGGCCCCCCAAGCTCACCTCTCTCAGATGCCATATGAATGATTCCTTGACCTGCCGCTCCAGCGCGGCCTTAGAGCGGCACCTGAACTCTCTGTCTGCCCGCAACTGGGCTTTTAACTTCTTCACATCGCCCTGCAGCGTATCAGAGAAGGGAAAATTAGCTGCGTAAGCCGGAATGGACCTTTGGGAGCCAGCTGAGCTTCTGGGATGACCAGTGTCAAAAAGGACTCTGCCCTCCCCGTGCTGAGCACGCTGCCTTCACCGTGGCTGGCGCTTCGGGCAGGCTGTCCCCAGCCCCAGGGCACTCTGGCCAAAGAGCGGGACCCAAGAGGAGCTAGGGAGGCAGCTGGGTGCTGTGGGCAAGCGCAGCTCAGTCACTGTTGCAGGAAGACTCCCCAGCCGGGGCGCGTGGTGCCGTCGGTGGGCTCTGGAGCGTGGGAAAGGGCCCCACGGTGCCCCGGGCCATCTCACCTTGGTTACAGCAGCATCTCTGCGGGCATCTGCAGCCACGAGCTCTGCATCTTCCAGCTGCCTATGGTAGCGTTCCGCCGTCCCACACAGGAGGTCCAGGTGCATAGGCAGCTGGTCCAGCTCCTGGGACAGAGAGAGGCACAGCACGTCACCCCACTGAGCCCCAGGGGTCCCCCACACTGGGACAGGGGGTGGAGGGAGCAGGAGGACCTGGCGGATGCAGGGGGGGCGTAACACCAGAGCAACCCCTTGGACACCTCGTTGCCTTGGCAGGGGGAGCGGGTGGGACAATGGCACACAGCGAGGAGGGGCTCACCTTCCGCAGGGCATCCCGCACCTCCACGTACAGGGCTGTCACCTTCTGTGCAGCCTGAACTTTCAAGAGCATCTTCTCGATGCTGTTCTCCAGCTGGCGAATGGCCTGGGGCAGAGACAGGAGGGGGGACACGGGGTGACGCCACGTGCCGAGCCTGGAACCCACCGGAGGGGTGCAGGGCTGGGATGAAGGCCCTCCACGGGTGCTGCCACCCCAGGAAGGGGCCCTGGGTACCTGCAGCTGCGCCTGGTGCTGCTTGTCCTCCTTCTCCACAGCCTGCAGGCGCTGCAGTCGCCTCTGCAGCTCGTCCCGGACTTGACTCCGCTGCCTCACCTGGTCCAGCAGCAAGTTACAGGTGTTCACCCGCGCATGGATTTCAGCTCGGAGCTTCTCCTGGGTCACCTGCATGGACATGGGAGCGTTGGCCAGGCCAGAGGCAGGGCTCGCTGGGCACCTTCTCGCAGGACAAGGGTCCTGTCTGGAAAACTGCACTGAGGTAGAGCTACAGATGCCAGGACGTTGCTCCAGGACATCGTCGCTCCCTTGGCAGGACGGGATCTGGGAGGCCTTTGATCTGGGGGGCTGGTCGAGCTAAGGCAGAGCTGGGCAACTACTGAGGGCAGCACTGGGTCAGGCTTAGGGACTCTGCACAGCGCAGACCCGGGGCTGGGCGCCAATAAAATCCATCGATCGGTGCCCCAGATGTGGCTGCTGGCAGAGAGCGGCGGCACTGCTCTGTCCCTGAAAGAGACCCCAGGGAAAGGCAGCTACGTGGGGCCAGCACCCCTTGTCCCCACGGCCTTAAAGCCAGGTCACAACCCGGGGACAGGTAGGGAAGGGCAGAGAGAGCTTCTCTCTCCAGGGATGCAGCTGGAGCCTGCAGGAACCCGGGCAGCCCTGGGGACACGCAGGCTGGGACGGCCAGGAGCCCTGCTGGGGCCAAGGATCTGCTCGGGGAGCTCCAGGGGGTCCCTTGAGCGGTGGAAGGGGACCCACGGCACCACAAGGGAACAGCCCGTGTCTCGCCGCACCAGCCCCGTGGGGCTGTCTCTGTGCCGGTCCCCGGCCCCTCCGCCACGCACCCTGTTCTTCCCAGCGCCCCTCGAGCCCTGGCCCCCAGCGAGCAGCCCCTGCCCCGCCGGAGCCTGCCATGGCCTCAAGCCTCTCCCTGGCATAGCCACGCCTGAGGGCTCCTGCGCTCCGCAGACCTGGGAGGTGGTGAGCTTGGGCACTGGGGGCAGGAGAGGGGCAAAGAGAACATCCCCCCCGCCTGGGGACGGTCACATCCAGAGGAAGCCGGATGAGGGGCAAGGGGGGAGCTGTCTCTGCAGGGCCAGCACAGGCAGGGGCACAGCAGACGGGACCTGCCGGTACCTTCTGGGCATCGCTCGCGGCACGGGCGTCCCGCACCGTCTCACACAGGGGGGGCAGCCGCTCTCTCTTCTGTCGGACCTCTTCCCCGCAGGACCACGTGAAAGACTCCCTATCTTCCTCTGCAGGACACAAAAGTGCAGTTGGTACCACGCAGACCGATGTGGGGACGATGGGCAGCCCGCCGGCCGCCCCGTCCCGTCCCCGCGCAGCCCAAGGGGCAGCACCTTGCAAGGCGATGATGGTGCGCAGCTCCTGGGCGTGCTGGCTGAGCTTTGCCTTCCGGCCCGGCACGGAGCTGGTGCTCCTGCCTCGGCCCTTCGGCCCCGCCGCGCGTGTGGCATCCATCGCAGCTCCTCGCGCACTGGAGACAGCCCGGGCTGTGGCCACGGGTGGAGCCCAGCTCCCCGCACCCGGAAACTGTTGCCGGGGCACGGAACAGGTGAGGTCATAATCGGTTACCGAGCAGGCGATGGCAGGGTGGGCAGGGGAGATCCCCGCTCTCCTTCCCATCCCCGTGGCTACGGCACCTGCAACCCGCCCAGCCGGGGGAGCCCCCCAAGCCCCGCCAGAAACAGGGCGAGGGGCATTTCAGGGAAAACAGCTGCACACCCGTACCCAAACACAGCACCGGTGCTCTCCTGCGAGCTGCCAGCTTGTCTCAGATGCCCAGAGGCGTCTCCCTAGATACGCACCTTTGGAAATGTCAGTTCATCGCTCAGGAAACGCTGGTGCAGGGAGTTACGCTCCGGTGGGAGCGGGCAAGAGCAAACCAGCGTAGTTTCTGTAACTCGAGATCTTCGCCCTGTTGTGCTCCAGGTGCTGGCCACAGAAACCAAGGGAACAACTCCCCCCCGGGTTGGTCTTCCCAGGAAGACCGTTTTGCCAAAGAGGAGGTGCAAGCTCATCGCCAGCAGAAGTCAGTGCTAACTGCAGAGCTGCGTGGGAAAGGGCCTGTCTGCCCCTTCCCCACCTGCCTTCTGACAGGGTGGGAGCTACACACACGTCTTCCAAGCACCCAAAGTAACAGTTTTGGTCCGTAGCCCATTCAGTGATAGACATCAACCAGCTCTTCAGAACTATTAGACCTATATAGGCCACGAGATTTTCATAAGAATACATTCTTAAATTCAGAAGGAAAGTGCCTGGTTTCTACCATAATCACTCTGCGGTGACCATAAGATAATGTAAACCAGTCCCGCAGGGAAACAGACCGACAGATACCCAAGAGCCCTGCAGAACGGCCCTCAAGATCCAAAGCCCCACTTCCCAAAATTACAGGCCAGAGACAAGTCACAAATGACTCAGAGCTTCACCTTCCCAAGGGGCACAAAGCACAGTTCCATACCCACAACCACACAAGCTGCTCTTCCAGCAAAGCCTCGTGCTTCACACCTGGGTCTCTTCCGCACGCTGGTTTACAGCAGATGATGTGTAACACCCCCCCTCCTAAAATCCACCAGCCCACTGTTGTTGCGGTAGTGCTGACCCTCACAGGGACCCAGCCTCGGGGACCCGGGTCAGAATGAGCCCCCACATGGGGAGACCTGCGGGCACAGATGCACACCCAGATGCCCTGCCATGAGCCGCTGCCACTGAGGCTCCAGCCAGGCCGGTGGCAAAAGGAACATCATTTCCTCTTGCCAAAGCTTAACCGTGGTGTTACAAGAAAAACCCCCAGCGTGGTTTGGCGCAGGTGTGAGTACTCTGTGATACACAAAACCAGTTTAATGCCATGTTACAGCGTCCGGTTCCTTCTGCAGAGCTGAGATAATGCCCTTTCCATCCTCTTACGCCACGCTCTTGCGCTGAGAAAGCTTTTAGAGAGGCTCCATCTCGTCTGCATCTCCACAGCACCCAGCAAAACGCCACCCCCACCTCGTGCCAGGCCTTTGCAACCAACAGCAGAAGAGGGAATTCAGAATATCAGCTCTGACACGAACAACAAAAGGTCGCTACTTTGCCTGCTTTGGCAGCCCAAGTGTCAGCAAAGAAAGCAAAGTTGTGGCTCTTCTCCTAACAGGACAGAAAAAGCAGCTCCCACGGTCCATAACCAGTGCTGCCCCTCACCCCCGGGCACAGCACACCGACCGAGGCGAGGGTGGATGCTTCTGCACTGGAGAGCCACTGACAGACCACACTGAGCATGGGCAGCCACAGCAAATGGGGAGGTTTGAGTGGAGGCTGCGTGTGGGCAGGCTCACTGCCAGCCGCGTGCGGAACGACCAGTCCTGTCTGGCATTCCTTGAACTCCCGAATCCATCTGCCTGATCCATATGAGGGCAAGAACCCAGCACCTGTCTCAGGCCCTTGGACAAGACTTTGTAAAGCGCAAGGAAGCGGAAGCGCATGGGAAAAAAGCTGCAGAACAAAACTCGGCCTTGATTTCCATCAAGTCAGGCAACAGGAGATGGATGTAAATGACATTAAGATCCCCTGCAGAGATGGGAGCAAACATTTGTCAGACACACTCACCTCCACAGCCTCCCTCTGCCATCCCATAAAGGCAGGACAACAAAGAATTAGGACTACCTGGACTGCACATCTGGCTCATCTGCTAGTGATTCCCACAAGCGGCGACACGTGCCTGCAAAAGAGGTCACAGCTGGACCCTACATCCTTTCAAACCCACTGTACTGCACAAGGCAGAACCTGCTATTCCATCTCCCACATGCAGAGGAGTTACACTGACACCCGCCAAATCCCTGCGGAGAACTGTCAGGCACATTTCAAATGCAGGTATCTCGTGTATGAGGAAACGTCTGTGACATAACCCTGAAATGCACAAGTCTTCATCAAACTTGCCATCATAGCTTCGATGTGGAGATTCAGATCCTGAAACCCAAAGCACTTGCCTGTGCTGGTAGGAATTACTCCAAGACAGCACAGAATCACAGAATCATCTAGGTTGGAAAGGACCCTGGAGATCACCTAGTCCAACTGTTCGCCTAGCACAGTTCCCACCTACAGCACATCCTTAAGCTCCAAATCGACCCTGCTCTTGAACACCTCCAGGGATGGGGACTCCTCCACCTCCCTGGGCAGCCCATTCCAACGCCCAGCAACCCCTTCTGGAAAGAAATGCTTCCTAATATCCAGTCTGAACTTTCCCTGGCGCAACTTGAGGCCATTCCCTCTTGCCCTGTCGCCTTCTATTAGGCTAAAGAGGCTCAAACCCAGCTCTCTGCAGGTTCTTTCAGGTAGCTCTGGAGGGTGATAAGGTCTCCCCTCAGCCTCCTCTTCTCCAGACTAAACAATCCCAGTTCCCTCAGCCGCTCCCCATAGGACATGTGTTCCAGACCCTGCACCAGCTTTGTAGCCCTTCTCTGGACATGTTCGAGTAACTCTGTGTCCTTTTTTTAGTGAGGGGCCCAAAACTGAACACAGAAATCAAGGGGCGGCCTCACCAGCGCCAAGTACAGGGGCAAGATCCCTTCCCTGTCCCTGCTGGCCACACTAATCCTGACACAAGCCAGGATGCCATTGGCCTTCTTGGCCACCTGGGCACACTGCTGGCTCCTGTTCAGCCGGCTGTCAATCAATCCCCCCAGTCCCTCTCTGACCGGCAGCTCTCCAGCCACTCCTCCCCAGGCCTGTAGCGCTGCTGGGGGTTGTTGTGGCCCAAGGGCAGCCCCCAGCATTTGCCCTTAGTGAAGCTCATGCAGTTGGCCTCAGCCCATGGCTCCAACCTGGCCAGGTCTCTCTGCAGCCTCCCTGCCCTCGAGCAGACCAACACTCCTGCCCAACTGGGGGTTGTCTGCAAACTGACTGAGGGGGCACTCGACCTCCTCGTCCAGATCATCAATAAAGATGTCAAACAGGAGCGGCCCCAGCACCCAGCCCGGGGGCCACCACTCGTGACCGGCCGCCAGCTGGATTTAACTGCGTTTACCACAACTCTCTGGGCCCGGTCGTCCAGACAGTTTTTGACCCAGCGAAGTGTGCGATTGTCCAAACCTCGAGCAGTCATTTTTGCCAGGAGAATGCTGTGGGAAATGGTGTCAAAAGCCTCGCTAAAGTCCAGGTACATTACATCCACAGCCTTTCCCTCATCCAATAATCAGGTCGCTCTGTCATAGAAGGAGATCAGGTTTGTCAGCAGGACCTGCCTTTCATAACCCCATGCTGACTGGGCCTGAGCATCTGGTTGTCCCTCATGTGGGGATGGCGTTTAGGATGAGCTGCTCCATCACCTTCCTGGGCACTGAAGCCAAGCTGACAGGCCTGTAATTTCCCGGATCATCCTTCCGACCCTTCTTATAGATGGGCGTCACACTGGCCAATTTCCAATCAGTCGGGACCTCCCCGCTCAGCCAGGACTGCTGGGAAATGACGGAAAGTGGCCTGGCGAGCACCCAGCCAGCTCCTTCAGCACCCTCGGGTGTATCCCGTCCCGTCCCACAGACTTGTGTGTGTCTGTGTGATGCAGCAGGTCACTGACTGTCTCCTGGATTGCAGGGGGGTCGTTCTCCCAGTCTCTGTATTCTGGCTGTGGAGGCTGGATTTCATCAATACAACTAACCTTGTTATTACAGACTGAGGCAAAGAAGGCATTAAGCACCTCAGCATTCTCCTTGTCACTTGTTACCAAATTTCCTCCTGCATCTAGCGGGGGATGGAGACTCTCCCTGGACTTTCTTCTGCTACTGACATACTTACAGAAACTTTTCTTGTTATCCTTGATTGCACAGGCCAGATTAATTTCCAGTTGGGCTTTAGCCCGTCTGATTTCCACCCTGCCCAGCCTCACAGCCTCTCTGTACTCACTGTGTGTGGCTAGCCCCTTCTTCCAAAGGCTGTAAACTCTCCTTTTCTCCCTGAGTTGCAGCCAAAGCTCCCTGTTCAGCCAGGGTGGTCTTCTCTGGCGTCGGCTTCTCTTAGAGCACCTGGGGACCACCCGCTCCTGAGCCATTAACACTTCCTTCTTACAGAGCGCCCAGCCCTCCTGGGCCCCTGTACCCTTCAGGACAGACTCCCAGGGGATCCTTTCAAGTAGGTGCCTAAACAAGACAAAGTCCGCCCTTCTGAAGTCCAGGATGTCAGTCCTGCTTAGCTCTCTCCTGACCTCTCTAAGAATAGAGAACTCTATTATTTTGTGATCGCTGTGCCCTAGTTGGCCTAGACATCAGGAGTGCGGGATGTGCTCGGGCCAGGAAAGCAAGTGGGAGAGGAGTGGGGTGACTCCTGTGAATGCACAAGAGGGAAATAACGCTTAGGGTGAACAGTTACTAAGACTGAAGGTGTGGGCACCTGAAAAAATGCGTACTGCCTGGCCCGGAGTAACTTCAACTGCAAACTGGAAGAAAAGTGCTTAATGCTTCCAAGGTTTGGGTTCTGCAACAGCCTGCCAAGGGAAATAAAGGAGAGAGCAAGCAGCCAACCCCTTATTGCTTACTGTGGAGCGCAGTAACCGTTTGATGGGCCTGGAGAGCTCTTCCAATCTCTTCTTCCTTCAAATTAACTGCCTCTGCAGGCACTGTCCTTCAAGATACGTGTTCCCTCTTCACTTTTTAATTGCTCTGATGTCCTGTTGCTTGAAGGAGTAAACTGTTGCTGATCAAGTATTTTGGTGGCAAAATGTGCTCTGCTGGCAGGATCGTTTCGCTTGTGAGTTGTGCTCAGGTACCAACTCAGATAACATGGTTTCATATAGCAAGAATTATACTTTTTAACCAGTTCACAAGCACGGGAAGGACTTGACCATGTTGGATCTCCTCTCCCGTTACCGCTGC